TACTTTATTGGCAAAAGTGATTTATATATACAAAATAAATATTTCACATTAGTGTGAAGCAAACATAGGACAATTTATGATATCGATTCATTTAAAGTACAACTAATGTAACTAGTTAAATGTGATGGAACACATGAGACAAAGTTTCAAAGCGACAATAGATTAGTATGATACTAACTGCAGAACTAAATTATGTAGCGCGATACTTGCTAGAAAATGTGTACACTCCTATGAAGTCAATTGAGAATATGGAAAAGAGAACAATAACGATTTATAGACGTTTCACGAATTGATATTCGTTAAGTAGAACACATTGAATACATAATTATCTATTGTAACTATTTGCACGATTTTATATAGTACAATTAAATTATTTTATCCTTATATCATAAGTTCCATAATTCGGTAATATATTTTAGGTATCCTTATGGCACGCTACAACGAAGACATTGCAAAGTATGACTGTTATACTCAAAGCGTGACTTTGAAGGTTAAATATAAGAATTAGTAATCCTGTGTTAGAGGAGGCTTTCGTATAAATTGTATATACAAAAAGCAAGAATGATTGGTTATTATCTCTGGTTCACTACACCATAGCTTCATTTTGTAAAGTTAATAACTTTTGCTTATAAAAGCTATTATATATACTTATAAAAGCTATTATATACTTATAAACTTGCTTCATTTAGAAATTGAAATAATCTTCTATAATAAATATAATATTACATATAATAAACCAATTATTTTTTATTTAGAAATTTTATAAATTAAATTCATGAGAAGGTATACCTTTCATTCATTTAAAAAAAGAACGTGCAGATCTTTATTTTACAGGATACAGGCGACAGAAAATAAAAATAAAGTGTTGCATTTGTTGGTGAAAAAGGATTATCTATATATTTGAATGAAAGCGAGTCCGTAAATGTATGAAAGTTGCGAAACTGCAGGAAGTCCAGGATTAAATAAATAGTGATGTTGGAACATTGGAGGAGTATTCATAAAAATACAAAAACGTATAACAAATGCATTCCAAATCTTATAATAAGTATTTTTCTTTGATTAATATTAATAATAGTTGTTTAATTACGCAGCTATTGTTGTTGAAATAGAAAGTAAATGGAATATATAAAATCATCAATTTTAATAAGAATTCGAATATTTTATAAAAGATTAGTATTATAAATATGAGAAGAAATAGTTTATAAATTCCATTTCATGAAATAGGTGAAAATGTTGCATTTTAAACAAAAAATCTAATAAAGCTCACGTTTGAGGATAATTTCGCATGTACGTGTTTAACTAATTTATCTTTAATACCGAGAATTGAATAGTTGATAAGATTTATTTCTCAAGTTATAGATAATGTTCATCGAGCTGAAATATGTACAAAAACATAAGTTCTTTTACTACTTCTGAATTCATAAAAGTTTATGTAATTTTAAGCACAGCCTTAAATTACTCGGATTTCCTTACACATAAACTTACATATATTTCTATTATATATTTCATTTTATTACTATTCATACTATACATAAATTCGTAGATTTTTCATCGAATACCTACACAAAATATTGATGCTATATTTATTTATGTTACATTATTAAAGATTACAGCACCCTTATAAAATAAATTTTGATTTAGCTCATTAAGATATAACACCATTGATGTATTGAATTTTAAAAATTATCATACAATCTGAAAAATCTGATATAATTCGAATATTTTAATTAATGGATATAAAAAAAGGAATCGAGTTTCCGTATTGCACAATAAAAACTCTGTTATAATTATTAAATAAACTATCAAATGTTAACCTCTTATTCAATTAAAAAATTGTTATTCTTTAAATTATTAACAATTTGCTATTAAATAATAATAATTTTAATGCTAATTTTGCATCATCGAATCAATTCCTTTAATAATAAAATATCAATATTCTGTTTTTGATCGTATTGTTGAATGTCATAACTCTTGCCATCTTATATTTACTTCCTCAGACAAATAGCATTGCTTCAGTTTTCTATATGATTTCACTATTGTGTTTTGACTTTATTTTTCATTATCTTTAAAGATAGCTCCCCCTCTTATTATATATTTATTTATCGTATTGAATTAATTTATCGCTAATGACATGGTTCTATATAAATCTATTTCCACATTTTTCCTATACTCTAATAATTTTTAAATACATTGACCAATTACAATAGAAAATATTTAATCTACAAGTATAAATTAATTAATGCGTAGTTATATTATTTAAAAAATTTTTCAAAATATTTTTTCAAAATACTGACTATTCTAAATAAAGTACAATTTAAATAAATTATTTAAAAAAATCATTTAATATATAATTTACTTCTGTAAAATATGTATTTAACTCTAAAAATAATAATAAAATCTTCCATTAGTTAAATTTAATAATTCGCAATGTAGAGTATGCATTACTAATTTTAATTCTGTTTTCTTTATTAGATTATTTTATTCCAATGAAGTAAATCAACTAATTATCTAAATTAGCACGTTAGCATTAAAAGAATGATAAAAAAAGTAACGCTTAAGTAAAAAAGCTAATATTTACAAGCAATTTATTCACTAAGTTCTACTTTTTATTGCTAATAATTACTGCTTTTCGATTCGAAGAAAAGGATGGAGCAGTCTCAAAGTTTGAAGTCATAATTTTACTCTGAAAGTTATATTCCTATCATATAAATTATAATGGATATATTCTGATCCGTCAATAAAATATAAATGAAAAAATTATTCAGATTTCAAGCTAGCAAATAATCAATCAGCAATCAACAATCAATCAATCAACTAAATACTTCTTTATCGTCATTAATTTTATTTTATTCAGATAATTTTCTAATTTTATAGCCTTTAAATTAGCAATATATATATATATATATATATATATATATATATATATATTTATATATATTCATAATAAAAATATATTTAAAAATATTAAATAACCAAAACTCAATTTTCTTAAGATTTGATACATATTTTTAAATAAGATAACACAATAAAAACAATATATTGAGTATCATTTAATAACACAAGTGTAATCTTACATCAGTAATTGTGTAGGTAATGATACATAATTTTAATGTAGAAAGACATTATTATTCATAAGCTTCATTTTCATAATGAATTCGTGTCATATATCATCACTCTTAACCGACATCAAATGCTATTTATAGGGGTAATGTAAGTACTATGAATTTAATAGGTGCAAACTTTCGCATTAAATAAGTAACTAATATTAAGACTCAATAAATGAAAGTATGAAAAAGATAACGAAAACTAAGAAAACTCTTGTTCGACCATTCGTACTCTTCTAACTATATAAGAAAGACATGACAAAGACTATTCAAAACCCCCGGCCAGGTATTCATCGTAAATTAGATTATTTAGCTATATATATAGCTAATTCATCGAATTAGCAATAAGTAGTCACTTTAATACTTTTTGGATGTAATATTTAATTGATTTTTAGAATTTTATACGTTTCGGTGCTAAAAATACGTTCAACTATCATTTAGTTTATATATAATGAGAGTGTAATCCTATCCTTATGTGCATTGTTTTTGGGCTTTCTGTAAGATGTTTACGAGTACATGCACAAGTACCCAAATGCATAATACAATATATACTTAAAAAGCTTTAAATTAAAAATTAAAAAGCTGATCTATATTTCTATTATAAATATATTTAATAAATTTATATTATTAATATTTTTACTATTTTACATATATTCGTAGCTAAAGTTGGAGTGAACATATGACAAATAGATATATATAATTTTGCTAGAATTAAATTTTCAAATAAAATTAAAAGAAATCTTCATTTAAAATTAAATTTAAATCAATATATTATTAAAAATACAAATGTGACCAAATTAATTAACATATGCATGCAGCTAAAATTATAGGTCTATTTAAGAAAGAACTTATTTTGAATATATCACTTTTCTCTCCATTTTATTGTACAATATATTATAAAATATAAATTATCACTATTTTCTTCAATCAATTCTTTCAATATCTTGATCAGCTATTACATTTCAATACTTACAATATATTTGCAATTTTTTTTATAACTATTGGAAAGTTACCGGTTGAAAATTTATAAAAATTAATAGATAATAATTATTAAAAATTAATAATTATTAATTTAATTAATAATAATAATTAATTAATAATTATAAATTTTTAATAATTATTAGATGATGAATATTGTGATGCATTTACTGATTAAAAGCAATTTTTTGTTTGCATTTTGTTCATTTAATCGTACATTTAATTATTTTAGGATTTAGATTTCGTTGACTGATATGACAACGATTTCTATCATCAAGACATGAAACGACAATAAATTTAAACTTAAAGTTTATTTGATTGATATAAAAGTTTATGTATGTAGTTTATGTGTGTTTTCTATATATATATATATATATATATATATATATATATATATATATATATATAAATTTAACTATAAAAACAAATATGAAAATCATAAATAATGAGTTTGCCTATTTCATTATTGAAATTGAATAATTTTTGTTACAAATTGTACGTCATTGACTACATAAAAATCACTGAATATTTATGGTTTATTAAACATTTTTTTATTTATGCTTTAATCGTTAAGAAATAAAATACAACTATCGTTTGGAAATCCAAAAAAGTCGGACTGCATTAAAGATACACTAATTTTCAGTTATAAAATAATGAACCGTTATTATTATTATCCAATTAATAAATTATATTCAATCGACTACATGTTAATTTTTCCGGAATCATACATTATACGATATAGATATATTTTCAAAACTATCTACGAGATAAAATAAACGAATGAAAAAATAATAACGCGAAATCTAAAGCAAAGACATATAAAGGTAGACATGGATTTTGGAGGGGATTCACATATAAGCACGATAATAAAACGTACGACTCTCTGATAGACTGACGTTATTTTATACTGACGAAAATGCAAACTGATGAGCTGGGAAAGATAGATCCATCTGAGAAAAAAGTCTTTTGGTCACAGCATGTTGCCAGCATTACGCGTGAGTTACTTTGTTCTTTAAAAAATCACGTAAAATAACATTTCTTGTGATGCGGAAGTATGAAGTTTTGTTATCCTATTAAAAGGATTATAATAAAATAATTATAAAACATCATAGTATTATGTGTATGTAGGTGAAACTTTACAATCGAGTACAATTTTTTAAGATGCCAGTACTTCTGTAGATATAATTTAAAAAGAAAATATCCATTTAAACAAAAGAATTTCCCTAGCATTAATTAAATTATTTTCTTATTAATAAAAATCGAGTGATTAATTTCAAGTTTGAAAATTCTATTTTAATTGTAATTAGTTGAATTGAAATTATAAATGTTTTATAAATAGTAAGATTAATGAAATTTTCAATGCTAATAAATAGAAAATAGTACTGATCATCGCTCGAGTTTAACCTATATGTTAATATAAATGTAACATATTTATTTCGGTTCATATTAGTCTTAGCAGTGATATAAACATAACAGCAGTTAACATTTTTCTACTTATCATATTGTTAATATATTTAATTTATAAACAACTTATTCTTTCTATGTACTTGTTTCATAAATAACATACTTTTATTACAAGTTTTAGTGATCCTTAGCTTAAGCTTTACTGATCCAATGAATCCTTAACAAGTAGCAAATTTATTTGATTAATACAATTAATTAATATTAACAGAAGCAAATTAATATTAATAGATATCAATAAAAAATCTGACTCTAATCTGTCCTGTATGAGAATATAATTGTATCTAACTTTAATTTGTCTTATATTAGAGAATTTTTGATAGCGTAAATTATAATAACTGTCAACTATTTAAGCCGAATTGGTTAAAGCTTCTTTGTTTTATATTTCAATTATCAAAGTAATATAAAATTAAAAAATAAGTTACAATATAACATAAAACCTGCAGTTTCACATACAGATCGATCGAATGTTACTATAGAACATATATATATATATATCGTGATTAATTTAGAATTAATAATTAGTTACCAATCAACCTTACAAGTATAAAAACAAACGTTTGTAAATATAAATTGTGTACATGATTTGTGAAAGATCTAAATTGACTGTATACATTTGAATTATATTGCTTAAAAAAATATTCATTTAGTAAAAGCCATATTACAATTTTTATTTTTTATGGAAACGCATAAAATACATTTTTTTGTGAAACAAATTAATCCCATTTATTTCATTTTAAATTCATATACTTTTTATTAATAAATACGACATTATAACAGCAAACGAGAAAAATATTTTTCCATAGATCTTATCATTTCCGACTAATGTGAATAAAATGTTAATATTATATTTGCAAATAGTTTACAAAAGATTAATGATTGATGTTTTTAAGTGCACAAATATTCAGCAATTACAAAATTAAAACGGCAACTCCTTGACTATTTTCCAAAAATTTGTTCGAACATAATAAATGAACTTATGTTCTTAATTAATTTCAATTTTATATGTGATAAAGTTGTGAAGTCCTTATTCAGCTAATGCGGAGAAACTTTCATATCGATAAATCGATCGCAAAGTCACGCACTAATACACCTATAATATTAACAATGTCATCAGTGAGCCTCGTCATGTTCCTTGTTGGCCTGGCTAATGGCTGGTCGTCGCCGTATTTGGCCCAATTATCGCTCAAAGAGACCGTCGATGGAATACCGAAAGCCACCGACGAGCAATTGTCTTGGGTGGCCTCCCTTATGAATATCGGACGAATATTCGGTGCTGCTGCTGGTGCCGTGTTTCAGGGTAAATCTCTTTTTGCACTTTCATTTTTTATTTTATACCTCATTATCCGTTGGTCAACCCCATAAACATTCGAAGCCCGGGAGATTTATCTATATATTTTTCCTGTCAGAGAGAGAGAGAAGTTTCGCAGATGACGCGTAAGAATAATTTCCGATTTGGAAAATACGTAGCACTAAATCATATTATATCAATTTTCATGTTTATGGTCAAAGCTACTAAAGGAAAATATAGTCGAATTTAGCATGTACGAAATGAATTTAAATGTCCTTTATCCGTATTTAACTGTGCAGAGTTGAATACGACATATATTATTCGTGTGATTAAAAAAGTAATATCAGCATTTAATTATATCGTTAATATGCATTAAAAATAATGTACATAAACTGGTTTTATATTATTTTAGTTACAATATTAAACGTTTTTAATTTTAAAGGAAAATTTTATTTCATTATAATTTATAAATGAAAATGAAGGAATTCAAAATAAAATGCCAAATCAGCATTATACTGTGAATGAATAAACCTTTGTCCATTCTTTTTGTTGAACTTTTTATTTAATTAACTAAACCAATTCCTAAAAAGTTAAAAATAAACTTCTTCATTGTAAACATCACTAAAGAGTTGATTTGATTACTTAAAAAATTTTAACAGGTTGCGTTGACCATATTTTGCCATATTCTCTACATTCAAAGCTGTAAATTTTTTATTTGAATAATTATTTATGTATTTATATTTTATAATAATTATTTGTTTAACTTAACCTAGGCCGATTGAATAAAGAATACCAAACTTCCTTCATAAAATCCATAGATTATTGAAAAACAATAATATAACGTTTACGTATGTATATATATTTAATAGAAACTGTCAATTATTTTATTCAGTTCTTTATTTCCGGATTCTTATAAGTAATTAATACATACTATTCAGTCTCTGAGCCAATTCAAATAATATTTTTTTAGCATACCTCTACTTTAATATTCTTTTGTACATGCGAAAGCTTTTAGAGTGAGCTCGTTATTTCCCTAAACATGTGCATACTGTTACGCTCAAATACGTAGAATGCTGAATAGAAAAAAGTCATTACTAAAATGCTCCCAACTTCATCTCATTGCATAAATCGCTACTGTACGCCCTACCCTACAGCCCACGCCCAGTATCGTCCGAGTGATAGAGCGCTCACTCCTTCCCGAATAATGCTTGCAGAGACTATGGGTAGAAAGATGTCCCTGTACTTTTCCGGTCTGCCCATGATGAGCGGTTGGATTTGCGTGGCCGTGGCCACGACTGTCCAATGGTTGTATGCCGCTCGACTCCTCTGTGGCTTCGCCATGGGCATGATTTGGACGACCCTTTCACTCTACCTGGCCGAGATAGCCGACCCCGAGATTCGTGGCTCACTGGCGAGCAGAAAGATAATTAACGAAGACATGCGATAGAGCGAATGTCGATTAAGTCGTTGGTCGAAGAAGAGCGCC